AGGGAGCCTAAACACCTTCATTGTGATGGTTTAGATCAGTTTTATGTCTTGTAACCCCCAAGTTTTCTTTCACTTATTCATTTTACTTTCGTATTGGTTGGTAAAATTATCTTTTTTTTTTTTTTTTTTTTTTTTTCTTTTTTTCTTTAGCAAATATTTATAGACTTGCATGGTGAAGTTTTTAACTAGAGACTAAAATTCTCTCTCTCTCTCTCTCTCTCTCTCTCTCTCTCTTTTTCTACTTGTCAAATGGTAATACTTGACAACCCCCAGGTCTTGGCTATTGGGACATGTTTCTTTACTGCTCTGATACTATATATAGATTTAGTGTCCTTGATATCCCCGTTGCCAGGATTTCAAATCTTTGTCTTCAGAGGTGTTTATTCTCCTCTTGTGTACCAGTTCCATAGAGGATGTATAGATATGAAAATGTGTGGAGGATATAGATTGATCAGTAAGGAGAGAATTCTTTCAATTTATATGTTTCTATGTAATTTGATTTTTTTCCCCAACTAACATCTATTTAAGATTGAAAAGGGAATGTGGAGAAATAAGTTGTATTAAGATAGTAGAAATAGACCGGGCGGTGGCTCACGCCTGTAATCCTAGCACTTTGGGAGGCCGAGGAGGGCAGATCATGAGGTCAGGAGATCGAGACCAGTCTGGCTAACACGGTGAAACCCCATCTCTACTAAAAATACAAAAATTAGCCGGGCGTGGTGGCGGGCGCCTTTAGTCCCAGCTACTCAGGAGGCTGAGGCAGGAGAATGGCATGAACCTGGGAGGCGGAGCTTGCAGTGAGCCGAGATGGCGCCACTGCACTCCAGCCTGGGCGACAGAGCGAGGCTCCGTCTCAAAAAAAAAAAATAGTAGAAATAAGGTGAGTTTCTCTTATTTAAATGGCCTTTTACATTACAAAACTTTAAAAATTTTCTCGTATAGTCCTTAGAGGGACTTTCCTTAAAGTTCACATTTGCCTTTCAGTAAATTGTTCCTATCCAAATTTAACTATCTTTGGTCGTCAGATTCAGAGATTATGAAGTCTCTGGCATTTTTATCTCACTTGTATGCAGATTGTCAACTTCGTAAACAGCTCTGTGCCCGTACCCACCTGTTGCTCTGGACTTTTCTATATCAGCAGCTTATAATTTGTTGATTTTTTTTAGTTAAATTTCTAAGGTAGCAGTGTGGAATCCTGAGATGAGCGTAGGCTTTGGAGTCAGGCAACCCAAAGTGAGAATCCTGGCTTCAGCATATATTAGCTGAGAATTTGGACAAGTTTCCTAACCTGTCTCAGGCGTCTTTCTCTGTATATTGGAGATGATCATAGTCAGCTGATAGAGTTGTGAAAATTAAGCTTAGATAAGACTGTAGATGTGAGGCATCTGGCTCTGTGCTTCAGACACAGCAGGCACTAGATAACTGTTAGCTTCCAGCTTCCTCCCTGTCCTCCTTGTTTAACTTAGCATAAAGCTTATTTACACATTTGCTGCCTGCCAGTGTCTACCTAATACATAATTCCAGTAGAGAGGTGAATACGTAAAGTTATTTGGGCTAATAACCCGCCACCACCTCTCTTGGGGTTCTTTGGCTGCTCTTTTGCCTACGGAATTAAATTTGTACTAGTCATCTCTCTATCTGGTCCCATTTACCTGTCCTTTTTGTTTTCACGCTGCATCCCTGGTATGACCTCTGCTGTAATTCAGGGGTTCTCACATTTTAACATAGTATCTGCAGAATATTAGTTATCCACTGCTGCCTAACAAATTCCTCCAGAACTTAGCAACTTAAAGCCAAATCTTTTGAATTCCTATAATAGTCTATCTTTTTCCTGCTTTTTGGCTCTAATTCACTTTGTTTCATTTCTACTGTACTATTAGTAGGGACCTAAAAATCATTGCCTTCATTTGACCTGCTCCCCTGTCATCAGAACTGTGACAGCTCTGTAACAAGCATTGTGCTGCTGAAGATTTAAAAGCTGTGTGGTCATTAGAATGCTGAGGCTGGCTCAAACCACAATTGTTGGTTGGTAGTGCTTTCATGCAGGCATTTATCAAACAAATGCATTTCAGTTGTGTGCCAGGCTTAGTTTCAGGTATACCAGTAGTGAAAGGAGACAGGCATGCTCCCTGTGGGTGACACAGGGATAATAAACAGGTGCACAGAAATGTGTCTTCATAACTTGAAAGACATCCCAGGAAAGAAGTGGACAGATGGCTATTATGCAAAAACAAGGAGACCTACTTAGGTACGTTTTCAGAGAATCTGCCTGGGACTTAAAGGATGAAAAGAGAGAAGACATTTAAAGGAATTTAGTGTCTTCTGTGGCCAGGGGCGGTGGCTCACACCTGTAATCCCAGCACTTTGGAGGCCAAGGTGGACAGATCACCTGAGGTCAGGAGTTCGAGACCAGCCTGGCCAACATGATGAAACCCTATCTCTGCTAAAAATACAAAAATTAGCCAGATGTAGTGGGACCTATAATCCCAGCTACTCAGGAGGCTGAGACGGAAGAATCCCTTGAACCTGGGAGGCGGAGGTTGCAGCGAGCCGATATTGCACCACTGCATTCCAGCAAAGGCATCAGAGTAAGACTCCATCTCAAAAATAAACAAACAGACAAACTTAGTATGTTCTAGTAACTAAAAGGAGTTGGCGTGACTAGAACATACCTTTGAAGGGGTATGCAGAAGCTGCAGGATGCAGGGATGCCATGGCCATGCTCAGAATTTCATTCTCAGTGCAGTATCCTGAGCTATATTAATATGGCATCCAAAGTGGAGATCATTGTCTTTTTTTTTTTTTTTTTTTTTTGATATGGAATCTTGCTCTGTCACCCAGGCTGGAGTGCAGTGGCGGGATCTCAGCTCACTGCAACCTCTAGGAGGTGTTCTAAGTTAGCAGTTGGGAAGTAATTGGGAGATTGGAATTCTAGCTACCAATTCAACTATAATGGGTTGGAAAACAAGATTTCTGTGTTAGTTTAACAGAGGAGAGCTAAAAAAGAACTCAGGCCTGAATGGTTGTCAGGAATTTGGGTGACTGTCTTCTCATCTTAGAACATAAAATGTAGGAATTACCACAGTAGCAAAGGGAGATATTTATGTTGGAGATAAAAATGCTAGTCCCTTCAAAAATGAGACAGTATTTTAGATAGGAAAGGTTATTTATCTGATTACCTGTTTTTAAATTCTGAGCTTAAGGTTATATGTCAAATCCTGTCCGTGGGCTGGGCACGGTGGCCCACACCTGTGATCCTAGCACTTTGGAAGGCTGAGGGGGAGGATTGATTGAGCCCAGGAGGTCAAGGCTACAGTGAACTGTGGTCACACCACTACACTCCAACCTGGGCAACAGGGCGAGAGACCCTGTCTCAAAAAATAAAAATAAATTTTAAAAAAATCTGGTCCATGTCCATCCCGTCTTAGCTGCTAATTCAATTTTAGATTAGACACAGTGGACAAGGAGAAGTACGGTGAGAGTCCTGTGATTTCTCACTAGCTTCCTTTCCACATAGGCCACTGCTCCTCCTCTTCCAAGGATTTTCCCAGCTCTTGCCTCCTGAAGATTGTAGTATCCTGGGTGTTAGGAGACCGGATTCCAGACACACTCCCCACAGAAGGATAGCAGGACCTTAGAAGATCTTCTTTCTTTTCCTGATTTCCTCTTGTTTGCAAGAGGGTTGAATAGGATGGTCTCTAAAATCCTGTTGTTTTTTGGGGTTGTATTAACCCAGGCCATAATGATAAGAACCTGCTCTGAATTCACAACATGTATTTATACAACAGCAATTTAGTATTTCTCCTTATTCTGTGGAATGACTAGGAAGCTCTGCTGGTCTTGGTTGGACGGTTTTTTGTTTGTTTGTTTTTTTGAGACAGGGTCTCGCTTTGTCGCCCAGGCTGGAATGCAGTGGTGCCATCAGCTCACTTCAACCTCCACTTCCCAGGCTCAAATGATTCTCTTGCCTCAGCCTCCCGAGTAGCTGGGTCTACAGACACATGCTACTGCGCCCAGCTCATTTCTATATTTTTAGTAGAGACGGGGTTTCACCATGTTGCCCCAGCTGGTCTCAAACGCCTGAGCTCAAGTGATCCACCCACATTGGTCTTCCAAAGTGCTGGGATTACAGGCGTGAGCCACCACGCTCAGCTGGTTTTTCTTAAGGTCTTACCTGGGTTCACCTGTGTGGCTGAATTCAGCTGGTGGGTTGGCAGGGGCTGGATGCAGTTACAACAGAGGGTCTGTCTCTTTAAATAACTACCCTTCATCCCCAAAGAGGCCAGACCAGCTCCTTCACAGTGCTCCGAGAGAGCAAGCCATGATGCCCAAGCATTTTATCCAGCCTCTGCTTGTTTCAGTTTGCTAAGGTCCCACTGGCCAAAGCAGGTTACATGGCCAGGTCTAATGTCAGTATGAAAGGGGCACTCCACAAAACGTGAACCTGTAAGGCATGACTCATGAGGGTCACTAATGTAATAGTCTCCACAACCTCCATGCTAAATTACCTATATTCTCCAGTGAGGATTTCCCAAGGTGGTTTTGTTCATAGTCTTCTAATAGAATTATTTGGAATTAATCAGTTTAATATGCTCATGATGTATTTCACTGGAACCATACAGGTTTTGATTCACAGAGTTGGGAGCCCTGGGTAGATACTGAATCAGACTAAGTTTAATCACAGAAATTATTCCTACCTAAGTCTGATCTTATGTTTTCAAGATAGCATTGTAAAATTCAGAGTGTGTTACCATCCCCCTTTGAGACCTCTGCTATTTTTAATAATTGGAAACATTTGGGAATACTATTTGGTAATAGTTTATTAAAACTATTTCAGAGATATTCTGGACTTTCATATTAGTCTTAGATATGGAATAATAAACATTAGCAATGAATCTGTTAGCTAAGAGAAAAATTTAAATTTATATTACAACAGTGGAATATAATGTTTAATAACTTGTGTTGGGGGGATTATGTGTTTTGTTTGTTTTTTTTTTTAGCTCTTCAGAGAAGTAAGAATAATGAAGATTTTAAATCATCCCAATATAGGTACTTTCTGCTTTTATAAATACTTTTGGGTCTAAATACATTCTTGAAATTATGTCATAAAGCTAAACACGTATTCTAGAAATGGTAGAGTACACTTCTAGTAAAATATATATACAAGTTGTTGATCATTTGTTTTAGCTTTTTGAAATTACTGAAGACAGGTTAAAAGCTTAGGTATTAAACGTTAAATTTAAAGCTTTAATGTAGTAGAAACGTCTGTAATCTGATTGTAATTTTCTAATTTTTAAGTTTATTGAAAATATAATTGTATTACATGAGTAGATAGAAGGGAATTATAGGAAGTCAGAATTAATATTTTCAAAGGGTCTGGGCACAGTGGCTCATGTCTGTAATCCCAGCACTTTGGGAAGCCAAGGCAGGAGGATTGCTCGGGGTCAGGAGCTCAAGACCAGCCTAAGCAACAGAGCGAGACCCAGTCTCTACAGAAGAAAAAAAAAAGTAATAATAATAATAAACTTTAAAATTTGTAAAAAGAATATTTCAAAGGTCCAATACTTTTGCTGTTTGTCCTAAGAAAATACTTATATATGGAATCATATTTAAAAGATGGAATACTTGCTATCTAATGGAATTCTGATAGGAATTATTTTATAAATCAAAGATTTGTTTTCTGTGTCCTCTTTGTGCACAACTCTGTGCCAGGTGCTGGTAGGTGTGTTTAAAGATGAGGAAGGGACATGGTCCTACCCTTACAGTAATTGTAGGAACAAGAAGAGAATAAGCAAATGACTTACTACTGACCCTGTTCTGTATACACCCCAATGAAAACTCTTGATCCCATATACATTGTAATAGGGTTTTAAAAAAATTACATAACTGCTTTTTTGTATAGTGATAGCTCATACAATCTAAAAATAATATTTCAAGAATGAAATCACTCTTGAGACAGCCCATAATCAGTTTACTGTCAACATCAGTTTTAGGAAACGAAAGGGTTGACGTTTAGTATCAAGGATAGCCTATCAAGAATGCATCAGGCACAGGAATAGAAGAGTAACACACAACCACCACAGGAAGAAAGAAGCTTTTACAGAGAACTGCTTTTTTAACAAAAGGCGTATGCCCTAGTTCATCAGATCTAAGCCACCATTACTTTAAAGGTGCCCTTGTTTCCTTGTTTCATATACTACTAAGAGAAATGCTAGCAAGCCTTCGTCCTGGTATCAGGGATATTAATTAAAATGTGAAAAAAAACTTAGAATCAATAAGTATGATTGAAGAAAAAAACCACTGAACAACTTCATAGTTGGATTTAAAGAAAAAAATCACAAGGAATATAATAGTGGGAAGAAAATCTTGTTTCCTTGATTTTCATTTCAATCCTTTGGGGCTGGCTAGCCAACTCTAGATTCAAATTCCTACACGCATCCTCCCACCCCCAACAAAAAAACTTTATCACTGTTGCCTAGAACTAGCTAACATAAACGTATTTATTTTGTCTTTTAATTACTTAAATTGTGACGTGATTAGAGTTTTGTACTTAAAACTTAACATATCTTTGATAATAAATTGAAATTTTAAAAAATTCCTATTGCATTAAAATAGTTTTCCCAGAAGACTCAAATTTTCATTGGAAGATTAGAAGGGTTTTATTTTTATGCAGTTTACCAACACATGTACCTTAACTTTCTGAAGTGGCTTTTCTTCACAATCTGAAACATATCAGAGTCTGGGGAATGGTATGATAGCTTTATTCATCAGTTCATCAAACATTTACCGACTGCTATGTTAGGCACTTTGTTTAGCCTGATACTCTATTAAAGCCTCAGAAAATTGCCTGAAATATAAAACACTAGCATACCCTCCCCCATTTTTGGGTACACTTAATTTTAAAGTAAATATTAACAAAATAAAGTAGATATGCACAATGGTGATTTGATAACTTCAGAGATTTACTCCAGTATCATTTTTTAAATGTGTGTGTGTATTTTTTTTTCTTTTTTTTTGAGACAGGGTCTAGCTCTGTTGTCCAGGCTGGAGTACAGTGGCATGATCTCAGGTCACTGCAGCCTCCACCACCCTGGCTCAGGCCATTCTCCCACCTCAGTCTCTGGAGTAACTGGGACTACAGGCGCATGCCACCACACCCAGCTAATTTTTGGCATTTTTTTGTAGAGAGGGGATTTTGCCGTGTTGCCCAGGCTGGTGTCCAACTCCTCAGCAGAAGCGGTCCACCTGCGTCAGCCTCCCAAAGTGCTGGGATTACAGGCATGAGCCACCGTACCCAGCCAAAAATGTATATATTTCTAATTGATGTGTTAAGGTTTTATGAATTAGCAATAATAGAAATATTTCCATCTGTAACAAAATACTGCTGTAGGAAAATCACCCTGACCTACTGAAAATTATTCTTATCAAAAAGTGTTTTTCCCCCCCTCAATTAATTGCAGTATAATCCCTTACTTCTTTCCATCTTTGGCATCAGAAAAGTAACAAAGGAACCTTGTTCTTTGAAAGTTGTCATAAGTTTCCCAAGCAATAAAGTTCTCAAATAGAATTACATCCTTAAAGCCATAATCATAAGCAACTAGATTTTAATATCATAAGCACTTGTTGGAGCACTTATCATAATCATAAGCACTTGTTGGAGCAGAGTAGAACTGAGCAGTTGCTACAGGCTGGCCGCTTTTCCTGGGGTGCTGGGAGGGCAGCTAGCCAGCACAGACGTGCCGAAGGACAGTGAGGACGACAGAGGAAGTGAGCTTAGGTGCACCTTGCTGGACTGCTGAGCACATATGGAAGTCACACAACACTCAGAAATAATCTTTGTTTTTATGAAATTCCATGCTTTCATAGTCTCTTTGCTGTTGTTGTGATATTTGATAAAATTCCCTAAAAGCATTTTTTAGAAGGCCAGCTATTAAAATCTTTAACAGGGAAAAGGTTGCTTTTCATAGTTACAGTTTATATGTGCATGGTTTGTGCATACAGACGTTTGTCTCTTTTTCTTCTGTATCCTCTCCTCTCCCCCAGTGAAGTTATTCGAAGTCATTGAAACTGAAAAAACACTCTACCTAATCATGGAATATGCAAGTGGAGGTAAGAACATTTATATATGTATCGGGTTTTTTTCTTTCTCCCTTTTAAAAAAATACACAACCATACTGCCCATATGGGTCATCATTAAGGTCTCATTTAATGTCCACAGCCATAATACACTAGGATGAGAGTCAGAAAAGCAGACTCTTAGCACTTCTAGGGGTTGCCGTGAAGCGTTTCACTATTAGCGTTGTTAGTTGATAATGTCTAAATACCTGGATATTTTTTGTGGTAAAACATACATCACTTAAAATTATCATTATAATCATTTTCAGGTGTACAGTTCTGTGGCATTAGCACATTCACATTGTCCTCACCACCACCTGTGTCCAGAACGTTTTCATTTTCCAACACGAAACTCTACACCCATTAAACACTAACTCTCCATTTCTCCTTCTCCCAGTCCCTGGCAACGATTCTGCTTTCTGTCTCTATGAATTTGACTACTCTTGGAACCTCATACAAGTAGAATTATACAGGATTTGTCTTTTTGTGTCTGACTGATTGATGCAGCATAGTGTCCTCAAAGTTCATCCATGCCATAGCGTGTGTCAGAATTTCATTCCTTTTTAAGGCCGAATAATACTCCATTGTGTGTGTGGGACACATGCTCCACATTTTGTTTATCTTGAGTGACTATTTAAACGTATGAATGCTTAGTCTGTTTGAAACAGATGTGTACTGTGGTTGCTCTGGTTTAGATGCTTTTCTTTACCAGATTTTCATGTCGCTGGTGTCTGTCTTCCCTAAGGCCAGAAGTGATGGTTACAGTACACATCACTAGAGTTTCCTTAAAATAAAGCTTAATGACTAGTAACTATTTGCCTACAGTTTTGTAAAAATGTAGACATTTTCTCAAATGCATGTTTATAGCTGCCATCTTTTATAATGATTTGTATTTTATGGTTGAGATTGGGTTGGGTTTGTAGTTTGGGGACCACACGTGAGTTTCATTGTCTGTGAAGAGCAGAAGCTTTCTTGTTCGTCTTTTTGTGTTCTCTGCCTCTAGCACACTGCCTGGTACACAGCAGGTACTCAATAGATAAGAATTAGACTGCACTTATGAATTATAAACTACTGAGTACACATTCTGTTAAACTCTGTAGTAGTTTTATCATTAGCACTTTGATCCGTGTTACAAAACCTGAAGATAGAAAGTTGGATTATAGTCTCATTTGAGTGAGTTTACCATTGAAAATAAAAAGATTGTAAACCTGTTGTGCAAAACAATGAGTTGTAGTGCGCATACCTCTGACGCCACTTTGTTATACTCCTAATTCATTATTAGCTGTGTATTTTATACTTTATATATGTCTAGTGTGGGAATTTCATTGGGATTTTCAAAACTTCAGGAGTAGTAGAAAGAGGGGAAGGTTAATTTCAGGACCAAAAAGCTTTATGGCGTTCTAATACTTTCTATGGGCAAACAACACAGAGTAATGTTCATAGCCCTCTTGTTGTACAGCCTCTACAGTGTACAAGGTGCTTTCTCTTACCAGATCTCCTTTGACCTTCACAGCGACTCCATGCTGTGGCCACGCAGTGAGTGATGGGCTTTTTACCCCTGAGGAAATGGAGTCTGGGAAGTCTCACTGTGGGCACTCTGGGCCTGGATCCCTAGTGCTCTGACAGATAGCATTTCTAGTTTGTTGGTCGGTCATGGCTTTCTGTTCCCATCTATTTTAGCTACCCAGGTCACAGAGATTACTCCTATAGGGGCAAGACAAAAACGTCTGAGAAGCATCCAGGTTTAGTAGAAAGAGGATGGGCTCTGGAAAAGACAGACATGGAGTGAATCCAGCCAGTGGCCCTCATTGGCCATGTGACCTGGCAAGTAACATGTGCTGAGCTGAGCTTCACGGTGAGCATAGGAACCCCCTCTGAGGGCTCAGTGCACTTGGCAGCATTGTAACAGCATTTAATCATTTAATCCAAGGTGATTGTTCTGTATTACCTTGGGTTTGGTTTGGTTTGGTTTGGTTTGCGACAGGGTCTCGCTCTGTTGCCCAGGCTGGAGTGCAATGGCGCCATCTCGGCTCACTGCAACCTCTGCTTCCTGGGTTCAAGCGATTCTCGTGCCTCAGCTTCCCGAGTACCTGGGACTACAGGCGTACGCCACACCCGGCTAATTTTTGTAATTTAAGTAGAGGTGAGGTTTTGCCACATTGGCCAGGCTGGTCTTGAACTCCTGACCTCAAGCGATCCACCTGCCTTGGCCTCCCAGATTGCTGGAATTACAGGTTTGAGCCACAGCACCTGGCCTCTTTAACAGTGTTTTGTTGTTTATTAAAACAATTTCCAGGACATATGTTTTATTGTTGATGTGTTTAACATTGTGAAAAGTTTTATTAAATTGGCCACCCATTCCACCATTGCATCTCCCCCACCCCCCAGCCTGCTGCCTTTTGATTTGGTAGACTCATAGAATTTTATAATTGAAAATAATCGTAGAAATTATAGGGCGATGGTCTAATTTTTACAGATGAAACTAAAGCTCAGAAAGTTTGTTCTATGCCAAGGGGTCCATAGCTAGTTTGTTTCAGGACCTGAACTAGAACTAAGGGCTTTCTGAACTGGCCTGTCAGTGTCCTTCCATCCAGCCACCTGTTCCCTGCCCAGGCAGGAGAGCCACTCTTTGCTTCTTGCTTCTTTTATCTCTAATAAATAGCCTTAAGTGTTTTTCAGTTCAGCTGCTTAACCTGAATGTTAATACATTTTTAATAAGGAAAAAAAGATCTAGATTGAATTCCTGGTTTAAAAGTTGAACTCCTGAATTATAATTTAGTAATTATGAGTGTGACATATGGTTCCAGGAATCTCTTAAGAGGTTTATATTAAATTTAAATTTAGAAAAAAATCTGTCAAAATTATATTGACAGACTTGGATTTTATCTGTGTTATTCTACAAATGTTGGTGGGCTTAATCTTTTTTTAAAGTAAAAACTCTTCCATATGATATTCACTCATGTTTAGTTGTTTTTGCTTATTAACCACTTGTTTTGACATTGTGTGCTTTTCTGCAAATAGAAAGGTCATTCGCATAGAAAATGCTGACACTTTACTGAGCTGACATTTAACTTCATAATTCATCATAGTTAAGTGAATTGTGTTGTGTAAACTCAACAGTGTGTAATGCCTTTTAAAAGATCATTATACAGGCTGGGCATGGTGGCTCATGCCTGTAATCCCAGCACTTTGGGAGGCCAAGATGGGCAGATCATTTGAGGCCAGGAGTTCGAGACCAGCCTGGCCAATGTGGTGAAACCCCCATCTCTACTAAAAATGCAAAAATTAGCCGGGTGTGGTGATGCACGCCTGTAATCCCAGCTACTCAGGAGGCTGAGGCACGAGAATTGCTTGAACATGGGAGGCAGAGTTTGCAGTGAGCCGAGATCGGGCCACTGCACTCCAGCCTGGGCGACAGCACAACTCTTTCTCTCTCTCAAAAAAAAAAGATAATTAAGCAATCAAGTAATAACATGAAAATATTGATGCCCATTCATTATGTAAAATTTGTTCTTTCAGAGTTAGGGTTAATAAGAGTTTCAAAGTCAGAGATAATTGTGTAATTCATAATGACTTTCAAGTATCAAAATATTTTCGTTTAATATTTTCACTAAGCTGGTGGATGTATTCCTTTTTGTGTGAAATTAAGATGTTTCTTTCCCGAAAATACTTTATATCTATTTTTTTTTTTTTTTTTTTTTTTTTTTTGAGACGAAGTCTTGCTCTGTCGCCCAGGCTGGAATGCAGTGGTGCAATTTTGGCTCACTGCAAGCTTCGCCTCCCAGGTTCACGCCATTCTCCTGCCTCAGCCTCCCCAGTAGCTGGGACTACAGGCGCCTGCCACCTCGCCCGGCTAATTTTTTTGTATTTTTTTAGTAGAGATGGGGTTTCACGGTGTTAGCCAGGATGGTCTCGATCTCCTGACCTCGTGATCCGCCCGTCTCGGCCTCCCAAAGTGCTGGGATTACAGGCGTGAGCCACCGCGCCCGGGCTATATCTAATTTTCTAAATTAGTATTCTTGTCTATTGATTTCAGAGGTGGTGATTCTTTATTCTACCTTGATAAGCACTTGACAGTGCTAATAGTACATTCCTTGAAGTGTCACCTTTCTTTCCCAAGGAATTAATATTGTATAAACTGCCACCTAGGTGTGCATCAGCTAGTTCTGTTGGCTTCACCTCCTTGTATCCTGAGCTCCCACTTCTCACCACCACTGCGCTTCCCACTCTAGTCCCCGTCACTTTCATGATTGGTTTGATTATTGTACTGATCTCCCGATTAGTCTTCCTGTCCCTTCCCATCATTGGAAGCCTCTTCCCCGCTAGCAGCAAGTGATCCTTTTAAGAGGTCAGTCATTTCATCTCTGCTTCTCGTCTCACTTATAGTAGAGCCAGAGTCCTCACCACAGCCTATAGGACTCTTCCTAGCCTCATGAACTACCCTCTTCCCCTCATTCACCTTTCTCCAGCCTTCTTGCTGTTTCTCTTACTACTATAGAATCTTACCCCAGATGACTACATTGTCCACACCCTCAAGTAGTCAGCAAAACACAGTGTGTGCATGCACAGGCTTGCTTGTCTGTCTCTTTCTCCTACTTTTTCTCCACAGCACTTACTGTCCTCTTATACACTATATGTTTATTCATTTATTGCCCCCTCCCCCAACTAGAATGTAAACTCTCTGAGGAAAAGGATCTTGTGTTCACTGCTGCATTTCCACGGAGCCTACCTAGAACAGTGCCTTGCAGTTAATAGACATTCAGTAAATATTTGTTGAATGAATGAATATATTCAGGAAATACTTTGTCATAATCCCGCAATAAGATGTCCTCTTCTAACACAAATAACTTCATCCACTTTAATTTTCTGTTTTCATTGCTTAGTTTTTATTAAAACCTATTGAAAATGCTCTTTAAAATAAGAGTTTTATAATTTAAGCGTAGGGAATTTAATTTTAAGGCTTTTCTCCAGCTTAAAGATTTTGTTGGTGAATTTAAATGCCTGTAGTTAAACTTAAAGCCAGCTTAGTTCAAATTCCACGTATTTCTGGCTAACTTTATATCTATATTTAAAAATTAGAGCATTGCTAAAAGTGAAACATTATCAATTTATGGGAAAATTAATGCTCAGAAGTAGGATTCTACTTACTTTTATTTCTCTCACCCGTAGGTGAAGTATTTGACTATTTGGTTGCACATGGCAGGATGAAGGAAAAAGAAGCAAGAGCTAAATTTAGACAGGTATGAATTAATGTGTCTTTACTTTGTTAATTTGATAATTTGTCTCACTTAAACCCTGAAGCGAACAAGTGTTTGCCTCCATAAATGCTTATACGGCCTGTTGGATGGCAGGGGTTGGCCATTCAATTCAACAAAAATTTATGAAGTGCTTTTCATACCTGAGGCACTGTGCTGGAGGCAGCCTTGGTTCTATTCCTAGCTTTGTAGTGGGAGCATTAGTCTTATACTTAACCTTCCCTTTTTACAATTGAGCCTTAAAAATCTAGAGCCTTTCAAAAATGCCTGTGATTACATTAATTAAAACCATTTCAGAGTTTTTAGCAAGCAGAGTGTCAGAACCCCAAAATTCATTATTAGCTTTGTCTAACATAAACCAAGACCAAGTGTAACTCAAACTGTTAATTGGTAACTTTACTTCTTGCTTTGTTTATACTCTGCTTTTTAAAGAGACGTGGGTTTTAATAAGCAGGTTTTAAGCATACAGGTTACTTAACTCTCCTGTCTTTATTAATAATAATTACTGTTACTGATTGACCATGCCACACACTGAGATAAGTACTTTACCAACATTAATGTAAATCTTACAACCACCTTGTGTTATACCCCTTTGCTAAAAAAATAAGACAGCTGAGACATGGGAAGATTAAATGACTTGCCCAGAATTGCCTTTCTTTTTTTTTTTTTACCCCACTTATTGTGGAGAACGGGGTCTCGCTGTATTGCCCAGGCAGGTCCCAGAATTGCCTTTCAAGTAGGAGACCTGCCATAGACTCAGAGTCTTATACCCTCTGACCCCAAAACTCAGATTTGCAGTCATTATATTGTGCTATTATCTAGACTGGGAATCAGCAAACTTCTGTAAAGGGCCCGATAGTGAACATTTTAGGCTTTGTGGACCACACTGTCTCTGTCGCAACTATTTAACTCTCCTGTTGTAGCTTAGAAGCAGTCGTAGGCTGGGTGCTGCGGCTCATGCCTGTAATCCCAGTACGTTGGGAGGCCGAGGTGGATGGATCGCTTGAGGTCAGGACTTCAAGACCAGCCTGGTTAACATAGTGAAACCCTGTCTCTACAAAAACACAAACATTAGCCGGGCATGATGGCAGGAGCCTGTAATCCCAGCTACTGGGTAGGCTGAGGCAGGAGAATCACTTGAACCCGGGAGATCGAAGTGGTAGTAAGCCAAGATCACGCCATTGCACTTCAGCCTGGGTGACAGAGTGAGACTCCATCTCAAAAAAAAAAAGTAGCAGCTGTAGACAATACCAAATGAATGAACGTGACTGTGTTCCAACAAAACTTTATTTACAAAAACAGGGATGGGCCGGATGTAACTAGAGGCCATAATTTGCCAACCCCTTATTTAGATGAAGGACAGGAGCAGTGCTTCACTGCTTTTAAATTAACTCTATATTCTCACAAGGTCTACACTGAAATGGAATTATAGCCTCATTTCTCTCAGAACCTTTATATTTTGTTTTATTCATATACAAGGTTGTCAAGATGGACAGACTATTAAATAAAGTTCAAGTCTCCTTTGATTTGCTTAGTCTGATGTTTACATTTGTAAGTGATAGGACTTACTAAGTTTCTTATAAATGTTGCTTATATTTTGCTGTTGCTTAAATACTAATGGTACTTTGAATTCAAATGTACTAAAACAGAAGTAAAAATCAACTTTGGCTATCATTTAACTTCTCTGATCCTGTTTTTAAAGCTAAAAAAAAAAAAAAACAAACTTGATGAATTCCATACTACTTTGCAATTCTAATACCATTTGATTGTATGGTCTATGAAAGGAAATTCAGATTTTTATTAGAAAAAAGTCTGCTTGGCTCTTTCCATAACTGTACTCTTAATTTTTATAAATTGGTCACCTAAAAGGTAAAATGTTTTTGCTTCATACAACTTACATTCCTTCCTGCTTAGATGAATCTGACTTGCAAACATATATGTGAAGATCGCTTATTGACTATGAGGAAGGGACTGATGTCACCCAGCAAGAGCTTACTAACCTAAATCTTGAGGCAATTACTCCAATTTTTATTGTAAATTCTCTGCAGAAATTCTGAAGTCTTTATTTGTGGAGCCTATTAGTTGGACTAGAAAAGATGTTTTGTATGTATGTGTTTTTACGGTTAGCAAATTGATTTAGAGTGCTTTAGAATTGACCCCTTCTTCCATGGTATTTGCCTAAGACAACTCCATTAGACTTGGAAGGATACGCATGATATTGGTATTTCTACTTTTCTGTTTCAAATGCTGTGGTTTCTTTGTTTTTGTTTTTTGAGATGGAGTCTCCCTCTGTCACTAAGGCTGGAGTGCAGTGGCGTGATCTCAGCTCACTGCAACCTCCACCTCCCAGGTTGAAATGATTCTCCTGCCTCAGCCTTCCGAGTAGCTGGGATTACAAGTGTGCACCACGCCCAGCTAATTTTTTTTTTGGTAATTTTAGTAGAGACGGGATTTCACCACTGTTGGCCAGGCTGGTCTCAAACTCCTGATCTCAAGTATCTGACCTCCTCAGCCTCCCAAAACGCTGGGATTACAGACGTGAGCCATTGCGCTCAGCCTCAATTTCTGTGTCTAGGAGTTTATAAGTCATCATTACTTTGACTAAGTAAAAAGAAGTTTTTCTATTTATGACAAAAAGGAAGGTATGCCACACACAAAGTACACTGTGTGTGATCCCTTTTCCATATTCATCACCAGATGGGTTTTCCCCTTCCTGCTTCCTCACCAAGCCCATCCTAGTTACTACTTATGACGTTTTAATTTTTTGGTTGAGCTCTTGTTCTTTTCCGAGAAAAAAAAGTAGATTTCCAGCTCCATCTTTTTTACTTACCTCTTTCTTGGTGGGCTGGTGATACTGATTCTTTGATGCTCTTTTATGTATGATTGAAAGTGAATTAGGCTAACATTCATAGTTCAACCTAAATAACATCTATTAGCAATCACCATTTCTAGCTGCTGATAGAATGCAAAAAAGGAGTAGGTTCAAGTTGAGTCTTTTCAGCTTATTGTGGCATCAGGTTAGCTTTGAGCTGTTTTGGAGCTAAAGAGAGAGAAATCCTTTGATCTCTTTGAGAAAGGGCAGGAAATCATCAAATCTGATTCAAAAGCAGAATTTGAAAATAAACTGTAAGAAAAATCTCAATATGAGGAAAAACTAATATAAATTCTGAATGAGAAAAGGGAAAAGATTAAATAAAATTTACCTGTATCCTAGGTGACAAAACTATTACTTTGTTTTGGGAAAACAAAGCTGTTTTACTTTTCCAGTTTTCATGCTGACAGAATAGAACAATAGTGATAAATCCAAAGTAACAGATGCTTTAAAACCCGTGTTTTGGCATTGGAATTTTTGTACCTTTAGTTAATTATAAGTGGGTCTGATATTCTGAATGTTAATTTTAAATAATGAAAGTGCTGATTTTTGTTATCATCTCATCCTAACCCCAGTTTAACTTTTCCTTGCTGCTTATTCTGAACCAAAATGTTGTACAGCCCTCTGAGATTTTATGTCCATGGGTGGGTCCATGGGGCTTACAGCTAAGTGTTGATGATGATTTGGAGGAACCAACAGTATTTTTATTATAACCTCAGTTTTGTGTATATGTAATCATATGTGTCTAAATATACATGCAGAATATCAAAGAAAAGACTAGATGCAAGTGCAACAAAATAACAAGAGATGTTACCTCTACTTAGTGGTAATGCAGGAATATATTTCTGTAGACTTTTCTGTATTTCCTGAAATTTCTACAATGAGCATATAAAGCTTTAATATTAGAAGACTTTTTTTAAGTGACCAGTAAGTGTGAAATTTCAGTAAAACAATTATTTAATCATAGGCATGATTGCAAGTTGACTAAATAAAAGCATACTGTTTGCTGAAAGTGGGAGGAATCCTTAATAGTGCACGTGCACATAGTAGTTTTCATAGTTCACATACGTTACAACATTCATTCCTCCATTTTAATAAAGGAAGAGGAAACTGACCCTCAGAGAAGTTAACTAACTTTTGCTCTCCATAATCCACATTAGTTAATAGAAAGACTGTTGCAGGAAACAGGCTGAGAAGGGCACTTACAGAAGAGTAATCCTTTGATCTATTTGAGAAAGGATTAATCCAAGTATGGATTAACCTGGATTAACACCTGGGTATGGGCAACTCTCTAACCGCTGGTTTGAAGTTGACTCTAAGGATATGGAAAGGTTGCACCAGGCCAGGCACAGTGGCTCACGCCTGTAATCCCAGCACTTTGGGAGGCTGAGGCGGGCAGATCACCTGAGGTCAGGAGTTCGAGACCAGCCTGACCAACGTGGTGAAACCCCGTCTCTACTGAAAATACAAAATTAGCCGGGCATGGTGGTACACACTTGTAATCCCAGCTACTCAGGAGGCTGAGGCAGGAGAACTGCTTGAACCCGGGAGAGGGAGGTTGCAGTGAGCCAAGATCACGCCACTGCACTCCAGCCTGGGTGATAGAACAAGACTGTCAAAAAAAAAAAAAAAAGAGGTTGCACCAGAGCCATCTGGGCCTAGGGGCAGCCAGGGTCCTCCAGATCCAGTCAGTTTGTTGGGTCCTGGCACTACACAGTAAATGGAATGTCAGTGGATAGGGTCCAAAAAGAGACTTCAGTTAAAACAGTAGAAAACAGAAGAACATCCTCACCTGTTTGTTTTTGCCCTCACCCCTGAATTTCTCCAGACTGGAAAGTTCAAGGCATAGGAAAATTGTTTTTAGAAATCCACATGGACATTCGAGTGCCTACTGAGTATTCTATATGTGTGAACATTAACAAAGTTATTTTCATCTTAATTACGAATCTGCACCAGTAATGACTGACTCTGTGTCTCTCCTATTCAGATTGTGTCTGCAGTTCAATACTGCCATCAGAAACGGATCGTACATCGAGACCTCAAGGTAAGTAGAAGTGCCTCACTCTCAGTGTATGCTCTGTCTGTATGTGTGCAGTTCTCTCAGTGGTCATTACACAAATGAGGTGTAGATTAGACTTACTAACATTTTTTAAAATCCCACAATAATTGAATCCTCTTAATCAAGTTATAGGAAAGAGCATTAAAAATAAAGAAAAATAAAGTTTATTGAAAGTATTTTACATTTCAGTTAAGGTGACTGGTGGTTGATCTCTGGAGGACAGTCATCACACAACCAAACAAATGGGGGCCTCCAGAAATGTATGGTCGCACCCACAGCATCCTCAGTGCCACCCGGCATTCATTTCTGCTGTTTTCATCAGCATTCTCTCCCATTAACAGCAGTGCCCGTTTTAGACCTCTTTCAAGGTCCTCAGCCTCTGCCCTCACTCTGGCATAGGATGAGGTTTCGTATTACATAGAGAAAATAGAAAACACAAGGCAGAAACTCTCATTTTCTACCAGGCCCTCAAACCTACCTTCACCTACCCACATCCATCACTTCTTTCCATCCTGTTACAGGAGAGTGGGGTGCTTCTGCTCTGAGCTCTGGGTCCTGATTCCCTCTGGGGGCTGTGCTCTGTCTGATGCCTCTTTTCTCTCCATTTGTTTATTCACTCTCCCTCTCTACTTGCCTTTCACCAGCAGCATTTACACATGCTCAAGTCTACTTTTTTTTTTTTAAACTAAAAAGCCATCCCTGTTCCCCTTCCAGATACACGTTTTTTCTCTCTTCCCCTTCATAGCCATATTTCTCTAAACATTTCCTAGATTCTGTGTCTTCACTTGACACTCATCTTCGCTCTCACCTCACGTAATTGTCATTGACTTGCTTGTTCTCTGCACCCGCCCCTAGAGCATTCACATTCACTCTCTCAGCTCCAGTAGCCAACTGTATGCTGATGGTCCCAAATCCATTCCTGCGGCCAGAGCACTCTTCTGGGATCCAGGACCCAGCTGAGCAAAGCATATCTTCATGTAAACATCCGTTGGGTGCAGCAGGTTCAAAGCCTATAAACATGAATGTTCACTTCTCATTCAGGTGACTAATGTCCCTCAGGTGCCTTACTCTCCTGTACTACCACTCAGTCACCAAGTCCTTTTGCTGCTGTGTTCCAAATATCTCTTAAGCTCACTCTTTTATGCCCCTGTTACACTATCCAAGGCCAGACCATCATTATCTCATAGTTGATTTCGACACTACTTTCTTACCTGTTCTTCTCTGCTTCTAGTGCCTCTTCTTCCCATGTATTTTTTCTACACTGCACACAGAATGGTCTTTTAAGGAAACACAAATAAGATGGTCATTTCTCTGCTTGAACAACTCTTCAGTGGCTTCCCATTGCTCTTACAATGAAAACTCAAACTTCTCAAGTACAGTCCTTTGTGATCAAGCCCTGACCATCTCCCCAGCCCCCTCTACACATCTCTATCCCACATACTGTCTTTCAGTTTCTGTGCGAAACATGCTGTGTCTCACATGGGTTCTCACACTCTTTATTCTGCCTGAAATATCCCTCATCAACACATCCATTGTGATCAGATGCACCTTCTGGTGCTTTGATCTCACGTCGTCTGGGAAGCCATCCACACCTTTCAGTGCCAACCCACAACTCCCTGTGCCTCTTCAGTTACGGCATTTGTGTCTCAGGACAGCTGCTTATCATTCTGCCTCTTCTAAACTGTGAGCTGTTAAGGGTAGGGCTTTATCTGTCTTGTTCATCATTATCCATCCAGACATTCATATAGCATCTGCTGTGGAGTAGCCACATAGAAAATAGGAAATGTTTGTTAAAATAAAGTGACTAGGCCGGGCGTGGTGGCTCAAGCCTGTAATCCCAGCACTTTGGGAGGCTGAGGCGGGCGGATCACGAGGTCAGGAGATTGAGACCATCCTGGCTAACACGGTGAAACGCCGTCTCTACTAAAAATACAAAAAGAAATTAGTC